AGCATGAGGGCTCTGGACTCAAAAAATTAACCCTCCATTTACTGCCCTGAAACCTTGGATGAGGTGGTCCTCTGTGGCTTGATTTCCTCTTAGAAATGAGAGTGATTGTGATACTGTCTTCATAAGGGTGCAGTGAAGATGACAGGAGTTGATACCTGTGCTTGGCACATGGTGCATGCACAGTCAATGTTAGCAGCTAATACTGCTTAACCACAGTAACACTGCTTCCTGTAATAGCTACCTGAGAAAGCTGAATGTGCCACAGTCCCTGTCTATTCTGAGCTGGAATCCGGAATCCCAGAGTCTGAGATGTGGGATGGTAGGCACAGTCAACATAAGCCAGAAGGAACATCTGTGTGCACAGCTTTGTCCCTACATGTGGGTGGCGTTCAGGAAAACTAGATGAAGTTCCGTCCTGGGAAAGCCTCAGACAGTGACTTTCAACCCTGACCGCATCTTAGAATCTTCTAGGAAGATTTAAAAAATAGCGGTATTCTGGGCCTCATCCCGATGCTCTGATTTAATTGGGCTGAGCTCAGCTTCAGGGCCTGTACAGGCTCTCCGGTCTTTCCAGTGTGCATCCGGATTGAGCAGTGGGACTCCAGCCCATAGGGATATGTATCTTTGAAACTCTCTACCGTCTTGCAAAAGGGTGACTCTTACTAAGAGAGTGCCTTAAAGCTGGTCCTTTTTCAAGGCTTGAGATGTTTTCCAGTTAGCTGGACCCGCTGACCAGGCAGTTCTTGAACTTGGGCGTGCATGAATCACCCGAAATGCTGGTCATAGAGATAGATTCCTGTGGCCTCGTTCCAAAGAGGCTTCATTCCAGTCCCTCTGGGGGCTCAAGCACTGAGAAAGCAAGCATCCCTGATGCACAGTCCCCAAGTCTGCTCGCGAAGTCCCGCACTAGTTCCTGTCTCGTCACCTCACCATTTTCTGTCTTGAATGTGTGCACATTGCTAAATGTTTGAATTATCAGTCTGATAGTTATAAATGGTCATTCAAAAAAGGAAAATCCAGACAGTAAGAGTCATCTTCGTTGTGTCACCTGTCAGTATGCCCATTTGCAACCTTCCAAGTAACAAAAAGGATACTACCCTAGGGATTTTTTAAAGTAATTTTTTTATACCAAAAATGCAATATGGAGAGATGCTATAGCTTTCCCCAGCTTCATCTCTGTGACTCCAAAGTAACCAGTTTGGTCTTTGTCACAAAGTAGAGCACGTAGTAACTAATCTTAGCAATAACATTACAATTCTGGGATGGAACAGTGTATCAGCTGGGCTTCCAGAGAAATCTCTGTTCAGTTTGCCCCTCAGATTACCCACAGATCTCTGCTTACCAGCCTTGGTGGGAAGAGCTCTTCCAGAGACCTACCAGGCTCTGCCAAGGCCCGGGGTCTAGGGTGCAGGGTGGGAGAGGGCAAGAGAAAGCAACTGGCTGGTGACAGCCCGAGTGCTCCTCCCACCAGAGGAAATTTGTGAGGGGAGTTGGCTACTCTTTGGAGTCGGAAAGGTTGCTCAACTCCTTGGATTTTCCATCACAGAGCAGGGAAAGGGTCAGGCAGGGAAAGTCTCCTCTCAGCAGGTCCTTTTAAAGCCTCTTGGCTTGACTGGTTTCCTCTCTGGAGCCAGGGAAGTAGGGCTCGGGTGGCGTTAACCCCTCCACTCCCAACAGATGGATGAGCCTCGGAGCTTACACTCTTGGAAGGCAGAGCCTCCCAGGGCATGGGGCCTAAGGAGCCGTGAACTCTGGCTGGAGAAACCTTCTCTCTGGCCTTGTTAAATCCAACAGACATAATTGCATCCTGCTGACCTTAATTCCACTGGCAAGTTTAATTGGCTCTGGCACTGCCCCACTGCCCGCCCTGCACCCTGGAGAGGCTGTCTGCACAGCTGGTGCAGGCGGGAAAGCCCCCGCTCAAGGGTGGGCAGGGGCTCTGGCAGCCCCTAGCTGGGTGGAGGAGGTTTCCCTGTGCCTCCAGGAGAGCCCTGAGAAGCAGCTTGGGAACTCCCAGGGAGCAGCTGCTTGCAGCAGGCAATCCCAGGGCTCCGGAACCAGGCCAGCCTCCTATCCGGCATAAGGCACAGTGGGGACACTGGCAGGAACAACTGAGCCCTCTACCTACTATGTCCACAGCATTATACTCCCCCCGACCACCACTGCAGGTATTAAGCCCAGTGCCCTACACACTTGTGCTGGCTGAATACTCCTAGCAACCCTGGGAAGGAGGCAATGGGGCAGAGTGGTTATGAGGTGAGCCTTGGGTTAGTTAAATGGTTCCAGTCCCAACTCTGACTTTGCCTATAACTCAGTCTTCCTGTCACATCTATGAAATGGGGATGGAATAGCTGACATTTTTAGAGCACTTAGTCTGCACCCACACATTGTCCTAAATACTTCCTATTCCTCCCAGTGTGAGGCAGGTGCTTGTCTTACAGATGAAGAAACAGGTGAAAGCGTCTGTCCGTTCTCACAGTTGGGTGCCTGCAAGCTTCCCTGGTGGAGCCCTAACCCTCACAGAGCAGGGCTGTTGGAGGGACTGTGAAGGACACTCAGCGAGTTGCGCACCCCAGGCCCGTTTTCGTAGGAATACAATTAAGTAAGTTGCTGGGAATCAGTAACAACAGTAGCACACACACACACACACACACAAAAGCCTCTTAAGTTGTCCTGCCTGGAGTTTGGTCTCTCTCAGAGGTGGCTCTGGATGGAATCTGGGTGGTCTGAAGCTGCTCACCATCTGTGACTTCGGGGATAGGACACCCTCTGTGAGCATCAGTTCCCACATCTGTACACGGGTCTAACACTTGGCCCCTAGAGTGCCATGTGGGGATCCAGGGAGCTGAATGAATCAAGCCCTTAGCCTGGCCAGGCCTGGCCCTTAGTGGGCACTCACTCAGTAAGTGATTGGTATTCATTATCACAGTGAGACAAAGGGGATGCAAGGACCACTGCGGGGAAGTAATCCCACAAACACACGACAGCTTTGCCGGTCTATGCTGGGCTCACATGAGCACTGGACAGCTCCGCCCCTGGGGGGCTCCCAAGCAGTGGGATCAGCCTGGAACTCAGCCTGGGGGTGGAGGCAGGGTCCAACATTTGAAGCTAAACTAAACATCCTGTGGGGACAAGCGAACAGTGCACTAGGAGGCCCTAATAATACGTGTGGGTGGGCAACATTTCGACCTTTAGAACACTACAAGATCCACAAGGAGTACCCAGCAGGGAGAAGGGGGGAGCCACAGGCTGGGGAGTTTTAGGAAGAGCGGAGACTTTAGGCTTTGAGGACGGATGCTCCTGGCTCAATTCCTCTCTTGTTGAGTGGTTTTGGACAAGCTACCCATTCCTTTAATTTTCCTCATCCAGAAAATAGGATGACTGCTCATCGCAGAGCTGCTACTGAGCTGATGCCTAAAGACAAGGTAGATACAGCCAGTAGGCACCTGGGAGTGGGAGCTCCCTTCACTTAGGAGAGCCTGGGTTCAGGTTGCACTTCAGCTCCTTAGAAGCCATATGGCTTTTAGTGAGTTCCTTAACCTCTCTGTGCCTCAGTTTCCCCATCTTGGATACCTACCTCACTGGTAGGATTATTACCTGAGTGATTCTACGTAAGAGCACGAAGGACAAGCTCTGGCACATGGTGACAGCTAGATAGGCAGTAGTTAACTATTTTTGCTTCCTGGAAGAGGCTGTCACCTGGAGAAATGAAGGAGAGGAGGGCCAGGCCCAGAGAAGAGGGTCCCACAGTGTACAGAGACTCAAGGCTGGGGAAGGGGCTCCAGCTCTGGTTTTGCCAGCTTGTGGCAGGAACTCTTGACATTTGTTCATTTTAGAAAAGCACATTCATTTTTAATAGCAATCCATTCATGCAGCTCATGGCTCAGACGCAGAAATAAAAGCACACAAGTGGTGCCTCCCTCTCCTGCTCCCCGCTTTCCTGTTTATCCTGTCAAGTCATCATATATGATGCCCTCGTTTTGCACAAATGAGAGCACACTCTGCCTGCTAGTCTGCACATCTCTCCCGCCCCTGGAGGTCACTTCATACCCACTCACTCATTCACTCCCCCTCCTTTCTCTCATCTACTGTGGGTTGCTGTGCTCATTGATAGCTGCAGGAGCTGAGGTGTGGGGCGAGTGCAGCGATGGCTGGTTTGCAGGCAGGACCTGAACCCAGATGCGCAGTCTCCACAACTCCAGGCTCTCCAGGGCCTCCTCAAAGAAAGGCCCTGGGCCAGGGAAGGCCCTTTGGAACACAGCTCTCAGGTCCCACCTCGGCCTGAAACCCTGCCCTCACCCCCCACTGCCCACCCCCCATCCCGGGCTGTGTGCCCCGCCAGTGCTGCATGGCCACCAGGTGACCTCAGAGTGGGGCCGCAGAACACTGACATCCTCCCTGGCCCCTCGGAAAGTCTCTCCAGAAGCACAAGAGAAAGATTTTTTCAACGGAAAAAGCTTTCAGGCCCATGGACATGTTGAACAGGTGCTCCTGAGACAATTTCTTACCCAAAGATGATCCAAGGAGATCCGGATGCCAGGGGCACAGAGCTGGGCCCTGGGGTTGGGGTGATAAGCCCTAGGCCTGCGCAGCTCTGGGGAGCCCCAGGAGATGTGGCATGCAGATAGGCAGAGCCAGGGCCCAGCCTGGGCATGGTCTTGCCCTTTGGCCCTGCCTGAGAGCCCCTCTTCTTCCAGGGCACCCCTCTGATCCTGTCCAAGTCGGGGACACCGGGCAAGGCCTAGGGGAAGGGCTGCTCCTCCAGGGCCCCTTGTGCCCCCTCCCTTTCTCTTCTTGCTTGTTCCAACACTGTTCTCCCCCTGGTCAGGCCGTGGGAAGAATGCCGTGTCCTCTGAACAGGGGCCAAGAGTGACAGGTGGTGGCAGCCCGAACTGCATGGCCCCTGGTGTAAGAGATCCTCTCCTCCGTCCCCGCCTCCACTACCCATGCCCCTGCCTCCGCCTCTGCCCACCCGGCCCAATCCCTTACAACCGCCCCAGGACCGCTCCTGAGCAGCCGCTGCACGACAGGCGGCCACCAGGTTGCCCCTTTCTGCTCCAGGTGCCTCTCTCAGTCAGGTAGCCTTGGCCTCTTCTCTTACTACAGCCAGACAACAGGAGCATTCGACAGCCTGACACACCTCACTCTGCTTTCTGCAGCTAGAAAGACTTGAGTTAGACAAGCAGAAGCACACGCCTCCTGCCTCATGGCGACAGAAAACGGAGCAGTCGAGCTGGGAATCCAGAGCCTGTCAACAGGTGCCAGGCTGGGACAGGAAACAGAGGGAGGAGCTTGGGAAGGGGCGTTTGAATCCAGGGTTGGGCAGGTTCCTGGGTGGGAGTGCTGGGCTGGAAGTGTTTGTGCATGGCATATGGGAAGCCCAGAAACCAGAAAGATCTCTGGGTGGAGCTGGGCTGGGCCTGGGGTCTGTGTGCAGTCTTCCCTGGGGACATGGGGAAGGTGCGACGCCTTCCTGGACAGCCGTTGGGGATGCACCTGAACACTCCCGGCAAGGCGTGGTGGCATCTGGGGGATCCAAGCCTGCCTAGAGGGCCAGAAGCTGCCCACAGAGGCTGCCAAGGTCCTAGGAGCCCGGCTCTAGGGACCACAAAGTGGCCCTTGAGGCTCAGTGTGCTAAGCATTTGCAAGTTGTGGCCTGGGTGGGGACCCAGGTGCAGAGCTGATCCCTGCCCTGCCTGCTGGGGAGGAAGGGCTGGGAGGCTGGCGTCCTGATGTGCGTCTCACTCCCTTGGCAGACGAGGCTTCTAAAGGTGCTGCAAGCGAAGAGTCCTTGGCTGCAGAGAAAGACCCTGCCCCCCCAGACCCAGAGAAGGGTCCTGGCCCCTCAGACACAAAGCAAGATCCCGATCCATCCGCGCCGAAGAAAGATGCCAACACCCCTGCCCCAGAGAAAGGGGATGTTGTCCCAGCCCAACCCTCAGCCGGCGGCAGCCAGGGTCCTGCGGGAGAGGGTGGCCAGGTTGAGGCACCTGCGGAGGGCAGTGCTGGGAAGCCAGCAGCCCTGCCCCAGCAGACTGCGACGGCCGAGGCCAGCGAGAAGAAGCCAGAGGCCGAGAAAGGTCCCTCGGGACACCAGGACCCAGGAGAGCCCACGGTGGGCAAGAAGGTAGCAGAGGGCCAAGCAGCCGCCAGGAGAGGCTCACCCGCGTTTCTACACAGCCCCAGCTGCCCCGCCATCATTGCAAGGTTAAAGCCCCCTGCCTGGGAGTGGGGAGGGGGTCCCCCGGCTCTGTCCCTGGGGCCCTGCTTAGTTCCCCTGTTATGTGCACATTCAGTGCCAGGAAGGGTGGTTCTGACATTTTTTGTCAGAACGCCTTTGTCCTGGGGGTTGGCTGGGCCACCTGCAGGAACCAGAACTTCACTATGGTTCACCAAGGCCTGGCAGGTCAGACAGGAGAGGTCTTCAAAGACCCCCATGCTGACTCCTCTTCTGCAGGCATTGGAGACCAGAGGTTCCCCTTTGCCCGTGGACTTGGGTCTAGCCAAGGGTAGGGCTGATCTGTCAGGAAGAAAGGGTAAGCCTTCTCCTTAATATAATTATTGGCATAATAGGAAAAGGTGCCTGGTGACTAACCAGGTAGATAATTGCTGGCACTTTCATAATCTTAGTACAGCACGGGTGTTAGGATGCAATCAGCTTTACTTCCTTGATCTGTTGTACGTCACAGCGGTGATGCCTACTTTATCAGGCTGATAATTGCGTAGTATCAGTTTCATTGCCGCTGACTTTCTGAATCAAGAGTTTCCTGACTTCTTATTTGTATCCACATGATGGTTACCCATCTGAACTACCCTCTTCGCAGCTATTGGTGATCTCTATGTGTACTAACAGTCGGCTATTAACGGTTTTGACCTCCCTTGATTTTATGCAAAGCGAACTGGGATGCATCTCCCCAGCCTCTGGGGCCGGGTCTGCATCAGCTCCAGATGGCAGATGAGGCCGCAGGGCCGTGGGGCTGGGGTCTTCACTTCTGTGTTCTCGCCTTCCAGCACCGAGAAGCTGCCGGCCCAGAAGCCCCTCAGTGAGGCATCAGAGCTCATCTTTGAAGGGGTGCCCGCGACCCCCGGCCCCACCGAGCCCGGACCAGCCAAGGCAGAAGGAGGGGTGGACTTGCTGGCAGAGAGCCAGAAGGAAGCAGGAGAGAAAGCCCCAGGCCAGGCTGACCAGGCTAAGGTGCAAGGGGACACCTCAAGGGGGATCGAGTTCCAGGCTGTTCCCTCAGAGAGACCGAGACCGGAGGTGGGGCAGGCCCTCTGTCTCCCAGCCAGGGAGGAGGACTGTTTCCAGATTTTAGGTAGGCCAAGGAAGCTGGGGGCTGGGGCAGCCCTGGGCGGGGGGAGGGGAGAGGAGGGGACCACCCTTGAGTCTTGCTGAGCGGCCCTGAGCTGGGCCTCCCTGGGCTGACAATTCCAGGAGTATTTCCTTTGATATACGGGAAAAAGGAAGTAAAGCACCCTGAAGTGTGCACTTGAGCCTGTTGGGGCTGCCTGACTCCAGAGATCACTTTAGATTTTCTTTTGCTTTGGCTAAAATGGGACCAAAAAAACCCCACAAAACTCAGGGAAGTTATTGGAGCAGCACAGACTCCCACCTGGGTGGTGGAATCTGGGATCGACCGTTGCAAGGGCTCACATGTCAGACTTTGGGGGGATAGGGGTTGTGGTGGTTCTGGGAGCCACAGAAGGTTCATGTGTGGGGGCAGTGACCAAGGGGGCTGGGCAGAACTGTGGAGTGGGCTTGGCTGGTGATTAGACGAGGGGCTGGAATTCTAGCTGGCAGCAAGGGCACTGGGCGCGAGGAGCTTGGGGCTCAGGGCAAGGTGCCAGCAGCGGTGAGATGGGGTCAGGAGAGCCCAGAGTGTCCTGACTCCTCCCCTCCCGCCCCTCAGGCTGAGGTGCTCTGGGAGCCCAGCCAGCCGGCCTGGTGAGCGGCACAGTGCCACCCAGACAGGGTGGGAGGACCTGGCGGCTGGGCGGCAGCCAGTAGCCTTGCCTCCTCTCCGCGGCAGCGCCCCGCCCCATCCCGCCCCACCCAGAAATCACATCCTCGGGGTGACGGGACCTGAACCATCTCCAAAGGCCGGCTGATTTATCACCAGCACGGCTTCCCTGCTATTTTTAAAAATTCCATTCCCGATGACTCAGCCTGGGGGCCTTCAAGGCCCGCTGTTCCCCATGCTTACCGCTAGGTGGCAGCCCCTCCTCACCAAAAGTCTCCGTTCCTGGGCCGGGGTCGTGAGCCCCAAGTGACTGCCACCTGCTGGTGGTGATTTAGAGGGGGTGGTGAGTGGGTTCAACAACCCAGTCACCATTCAAACACAGAAACCCTACTATCGCGATCCACTTCGTAGTTGCTGTGTTTGTTTTTAATGGGGTCCTTGCACCTTATAATGTAGGAGAGTCCCAGAAGTCCAATCAGTCCCCATAATTCTACCAGGAGAAGCTAGAATCAAGGCAGAGGCCTCCCAAGGCCACGTTGTGTGTCGGTGGCTGACCTGCCATCGGAAGCTAGCCCTCCTCTGCTGGAATCACTTGGTGAACTGAACTTTCCCGGAGGGGACCCAGGCCAGGCAGGAGGGGCGGTGCCCAGATGAACCCTCAGCAGCCCTCGACATTGACGTGACGGCTCTGCTCTGCCTCCTCAGATGACTGCCCGCCACCCCCAGCCCCGTTTCCCCACCGCATCGTGGAGCTGAGGACTGGGAATGTCAGCAGTGAATTCAGCATGAACTCTAAGGAGGCGCTGGGAGGGTGAGAGCTGGGACCCCGCGCCAGCACCCACAGGCAGGACAGCGCCTAGTCCCCGTGGCCTCACCCTGGCTACATGGGGAGGGTGAGAGCTGGGACCCCGCGCCAGCACCCACAGGCAGGACAGCACCTAGTCCCCGTGGCCTCACCCTGGCTACATGCAAGGCCCAGACACTCCCCACTGCACAGGCCCACGGGCGTGTTTGCTCCCGTGTGGTCACACACACTGCATGCAGCCCTCACGTGCTGACAAGTACTCAGGGTCACTGTTACTCACACAGACACACCATGGGTCAGTAATGTTTCCAGTTGGAAATGCCCAGTATTCGCCTGTCTCCATTCCAGACACCACTCTGACCTCCTCAGGGGAAGGTGCCTGCCCCCAGGACCCAGGGCTCCTGTATGGCCTAAGCCTTTCAGGGTCACATCCGGGGACTGTCCTCCTGAGGAGCCTGTGCACACGGTTTGCAAGCTCCAAGGAGCCTGCCTTCAGCATTGTCCTGGCAGCCCATCCCCAGCTTCAGGAGAGAGTCGGGGTGGGCTGGCGTGTGCACTCCATCTCCCAGAGCAGGAGCCAGAGGCACCATGGGCCCTGGGGCCAAGATGGGGAGGGCCAGGACCCTGCGGACCCTGTGCCCTTCGGAGGCCTCTCGCTCCCAGCCTCTTCTCTCTCCAGGGGAAAGTTTGGAGCAGTCTGCACCTGCACAGAGAAATCCACAGGCCTCAAGCTGGCAGCCAAGGTCATCAAGAAACAGACCCCCAAAGACAAGGTAGTGGAGGGAGGGGTGGCTTTGCAGGAAGGAGGGGGCTCCTGGGAGCAGGCCCCTCTCACCTCCCTGCACCTGTACCGCTGAGCCTGGGACCTGGAGGGGGAGCCTTGTTGCACTGCAGATGCTATGCAGACAGACAGATGGACAAACAGCCAGCCCTGCTGCGGGGGCCTGATGCTCCTACCCACAAACCAAACAGCTCAGTCAGTGAGCTGGTCTGGGGACTCGCCCTTCTAGGCAAGGGGTCTTCAGTTCCACAGGCAGCGATGAGAGTGGGCTGTGGGCCAGGCCCTGTGTTGGGCACTGGGGTCCCAAAGTGAAGTGGATATGGTTCCCGCCCTCAGGAGCTGACGCCAAAGTAAAGCAGCCTGGTGGGGAGCTTTGCCTCCAGCGCCAGCCTGGGCCAGGTTGAGAGGAGACCATGAGCAGACTTGGAGGAGTGAATGCCCGCGTGCAGGCGGAGGCTCCCACAGCGCAGCGTCTGCTCTGTGAGCAGGTGACGGCATCCGCAGCTGAGAGCACCCAGGGCCGCAGTCAGGAAAGCGGGGGCAGGGAGGCAGCCTGGACCAGCTGTCTCCTGAGTGAGGGCTTCGAAGGATGAGGCGACGTCTCAGGGGAGAGGGCAGAGTTCCAGGCAGCAGGAACACTGGGAGGAAAGGCCTGAGGGCCAGAAATAGCATGGGAAGCCGAGTGGGGAGGTAGATTCTGGGCACCCCGGGCAGAGGTGATGGGTGTGCAAAGGCCCGGAGTCCAGCGGGAGCTGGAGAAGCCCCTCGGGAGAGCTGTAGCCCTGAGTCCTGCACGGGGCTCCAAGCACAGGTGGAAGGACTCACTTCCCTGTGTCATCACATCCTCTCTCTCTGCCACCTGCCAGGGCCTGCATCTCATCTGACCGCTGTATCACAGGGTCCGCTTCAATACCAAACGTACTCAGTACTCACCTAGTGGCTAGCTGTTGAGGACTTTTTCTGTGCGACTCACTGTGCCTTGTGCTGGGGCAATGTCAGTGAACCCAGAGAGTTTCTGCCCCGAGGCGGGCATGTGGCCTAGCAGTTAAGACACCTGTCGGGGTGCCCCACCTCCCGCATCGGAGGACCTGCGTTTGGGCTCCGACTCTGCTCCCGATTCAGCTTTCACTAATGCAGACCCTGGGAGGCAGCAGGTGAGGGCTCAAGTGGTTGGGTTCCTGCCACCTGTGTAGGAGACCTGGATGGAGTTCCGGGCTCCTGGCTTCAGCTCCAGCCCTGGGAACTGAACCAGCGAGTGGGAGATATCTCTCTCTCTCTCTCTCTCTCTCTCTGTCTCTCTGTCTCCAATGAATGAATGAATGAGTGAAGTCCCTGCCTTGATGGAGCTGAGGGACTTCTATCTTTTAGTTAAACAAAACAACATGAGTGCAGCCAGGCAAGGAGAAGTGCTAGGAGGCAGTGAAGCTGAGGTTTGATGGGCCATGCTGGGTGGGCTGCTGGGGCCTGAAGGGAGGGCTGGAGTAAAGGGAGAAGAGGAGTAATTGGGGTTGCCGTAAGATGCGTGGTGTTTGACAACAGGTTCTGGGTGGGAGAGACACCTAAAGGGATAGCATTGGCCGATTTCCATGGTGTAACTATCCCTGCCATGGCTGATCCAACCCACCAAGGCGACAAGTGGCTTGCATACTTTCTGAAAGTGACAAATACTGGTGGCTTAGACTAGGAAGGCAGTGGTGGAGGAGGTGAGAAATTACTGGACTTACAGCCTAGTTTATTTTATTTTTTTAAAGCATTATTTTATTCATTTGAAAGAGAGTTACAGAGAGAGGTAGAGCCCGAGAGAGAGAGGTCTTCCATTCCACTAGTTCACTCGCCACATGACTGCAGTGGCCAGAACTGGGCCATCATCTTCTGCTTTCCCAGGCCATAGCAGAGAGCTGGATCAGAAGAAGAGCAGCTGGGACTCGAACTGGCGCCCATGTGGGATGCCGGCGCTGCAGGCTGGGGCTTTAACCTGCTGCGCCACTGCGCCAGCCCCTACAATTTAGTATGTCAAGGATTTACTAATGGATTGGGTGTGGGACCTGCAGAAGTGAGAGGAAGCGAGGAATCAAGATAGCTCCTAACTTTTTGTCCTGGTGTCCCTCTGTTGAGGGGCAGGCTAAGGGGAACTCCTGTGGGGCGGGGTGGGGGCGGGGCTTGAATTCTGATGTGATAGATTTGAGATGCCCATTAGACACCCACAGGAATGGCAAGCAGCCAGAGTCTGGAGCTGAGGGGAGCTATGCACTGGAACTGACACCGTTTGGAAGAAGTGGGACCTGACGGGATAGAGCCTAGAGAGGCGAGGGAGGAAGGGGAGGACGGAGTCCTCGGGCATGCCGCTGTTAGAGAGAGGAGGAGGAGGGAGGCTGGCACAGCAACGGGGTCCCTGCAGGAGTGACACAGGCTGACGGGCTGGGCAGAGAAGGGAGGCAAGGAACCCAGCCCGGAGGAGGCCCACAGGTGTAGTGAGAGGGTGGAGGCGGGGAGTGATGGCGCCTGGGTGGTGCCCTTGACGTTCCTGTCCCCCAGGAGATGGTGTGGTGAGAGGGTGGAGGCAGGGAGTGAGGCACCTGGGTGGTACCCTTGACGTTCCTGGCCCCCAGGAGATGGTGTGGTGAGAGGGTGGAGGCGGGGAGTGAGGCGCCTGGGTGGTACCCTTGACGTTCCTGGCCCCCAGGAGATGGTGATGCTGGAGATCGAGGTCATGAACCAGCTTAACCACCGCAACCTGATCCAGCTGTACGCAGCCATTGAGACACCACACGAGATCGTGCTGTTCATGGAGTAGTGAGTGCGGCCGTGGGGCGGGCGCGGGGCTGCTGCCGGCGGGCGCCGGGCAAGCCTGGACAGGACTCTGTGCACGCAGCATCGAGGGCGGCGAGCTCTTCGAGAGGATCGTGGACGAGGACTACCACCTGACCGAGGTGGACACCATGGTGTTCGTCAGGCAGATCTGCGACGGGATCCTCTTCATGCACAAGATGCGGGTGCTGCACCTGGACCTCAAGGTAGGCGGGCCGCGGGCAAGCCCCCGGGACCCACGCCCTCCCGCCCGTGGGTTCAACAGGCGTGTGGAGCAATAGAAGAGGGGACAGAGAGACGAACACAGGGTCCCAGCTTTTACAAAGCCTCTGGTCTAGTGCTGGGGGTTTGTTGGAAGAGCCTTTGGCAGCCCTGTGAGCCGCAAGCTCTGTGTCTCACACATGTGCAGCTCAGAAGTGTCGGAAAAGCACCACGCTCAGTGTCGGCCTGTGACAGGTGCAACAGATGCTTGTGTTCACTTATTCAAAATCAACTGATATTTGTTGAGGGCCTCCTTTATGCCAGGCAGTGTTTTAGGAGGTGGAGATCCAAGGGCGAGCAAAATCGATACACATCCCTGGCCTGGTGGTGCTGGCACACAGGTGTGGCGTTAGTACAGCGATGCACACACGGGAGGCACTGCAGAAGCGTGCACACAGTAGGACGGGCGCAGAAGCCAGACTTTCTGTCTTGCACCTCCTCTCCCCCACTGCTAGCGGCTGCCTGGAGCGGAGTGACGTCTGCCTAGGGTGTGGAGTAAGCAAGGGCGGCACAAGTGCCAGGCGGTTGCCGTCCTGAGGGAGGGCTGGGGGGTGAGGTGGACTCTCAGTGCCTTTAGCAAGTAGTGAGTCATTGGCTTGATGAGCACATGCCAGGTTCCTGCTGCTGGCAGGCCCTGGGCTAGGCATAGAGGTTTTGTGTTTTTTTTTGTTTTTTTTTGGTTTTTTGTTTTTTGTTTTTTGTTTTTTGACAGGCAGAGTGGACAGTGAGAGAGAGACAGAGAGAAAGGTCTTTGTTTTTGCCATTGGTTCACCCTCCAATGGCTGCCGCGGCCGGCGCGCTGTGGCCGGTGCACCGTGCTGATCCGATGGCAGGAGCCAGGTGCTTCTCCTGGTCTCCCATGGGGTGCAGGGCCCAAGCACTTGGGCCATCCTCCACTGCACTCCCTGGCCACAGCAGAGAGCTGACCTGGAAGAGGGGCAACCGGGACAGGATCCGGCGCCCCGACCGGGACTAGAACCCAGTGTGCCGGCGCCGCTAGGCAGAAGATTAGCCTGTTGAGCCACGGTGCTGGCCGTAGGCATAGAGTTGTATCACGAGGACTATGAAATGGGGAAACAGGTATCATAAAATGACGGCCAAGTCAACAGGTCCCTGACAAACGATCAGTGTTAGGAAAAAGCATGGGAGTGTAACGGAGAAACATACAAGGCGATCTTGGAGAAGGAGATGAGGGCCAGGGCTCCCGGAGGCGGCCCGACACGGGCCAGGGAGATGCTGCCGTCTCTGCCACCTGCCCTGCTCGGGGTGGGGGCTGTCAGCACCCCCACTGCCACACGAGGCCCCGGGGGCAGCGGGGAACGTAGGAGGCTGTAGTTCTAAGCTGGGCAAGAGGTGATGGGGGCCTGGACAGGAACGGTGGTGGGGACAGCCCTAGGAGGTGGCTTGTGTGGGAGTAGGTAGTTATAGCGGAGAGACCTGTAACAGTAAACCTGCAGGAGCGATTCCCAGGGGACGGTTGAGTACCTGGGCAGGTGGTGGCCGCTTCGCTGAGCTGGAGGCACCTGCCACCTGCTCTGTGACCTCAGACGCCTGCCTTTCCCTGGGGACACCAATTTCTTCAGCGGCAGAATAGAGTCCCCAGTTAAAATGCAGCGCCCCGCGAAGGAACACGATGGGCAGCCTCTGTGTCCCAAGGTGTTTCCTGTTTTCAGGATAGCATTAAGCTTTTCATCAAGAAAATGCTTCTCGGTCAAGTAGGTTGGGCGACCCTCAGCTCCCAGGCAGGCCCTTTCCTGGGGGGCTCAGCTAGGGGACTGCTGAGGCCCCCCAGGAGTGCAGAGACTCCCCACGAGGCTGAGTCTGCCGCGTTTCCCCCAGCACAGAGGCCCTGGAGCCTTTCTTTTCTGCTCCTGTTTTGGTAGGACACAGACTGAGCTGGGAAAGACACCTGTGTCCCGCCCCGAGGGAACGGGCTGCTTCTCAAGGGGTTCTCAGGGGCCAGGGCCGTAGCGCAGCCAGGGTAGCCAGCACTGTGACACCGCGATCCCAGATCGGAGCCCCGGCTGCCCTGCCTCCTCCAGCCCCTCGCTGATACACCTGGGAAGGCAGTGAAAGATGGCGTGGGCCCTGCACCCGGGTGGGAGACCAGGATGGAATTCCTGGCTCCTGCTTTGGCCTGGCCTAAACATGGCTGCTGTGGCCATTCGGAGTAAACCAGCGAGTAGATATTTCTCTCTCTTCCTCCCCACCCCAGCCCTGTTGCTCTGCTTTTCGAATAAATAATTTAAAAAAAAATTTTTTTTTTTTTTTTAAAAGGGCTTTCACATGCTCACAGAGCCCTGACAACCGAAGGCAATGTGTTGAGTGGCCAGGTCAGGGGCGGCTGACAGCAGGGGGAGCTGGAGAGCTCATGTCCCGGGCGTCACAGGCAATTCGCACCCAGCTGCGTGGCCCGTGTGCCCTGGGATTCCGGCTTTTTGGAAGGTGCTCGTTTTTGTATGAAATCTCCTGCCTCGGAGCCGTCGTGAGCTTTAAGACATCCCTACTGAACCGCGAAAGCTCAGCTTAGGCCCATGTTCTGTGTGCTGGGGAGGACAGCAGAGCCGCAGTGGGAGGAACCGGCCTCGCTGTAACTTGCATTCTCCGTGCCTGGGGCATAGGTTTCCTCGGAGCCTCCCGGGTGCGTTTGTTAGCCACGGTGGCTGGGAGAAGATGCCAGCAGCATTGTGTCCACCCCAGTGCTCACCCATGGGGTACGCAGTGGGTCCCTGTTAGCCAGCAGCAGCAGGGGGACATCCAGAGGCCAGTGCTGAAGCCACAGTCCTGAGTTCAAATGCTGGCTGTGTCATTTGCTCACCGAGTGACTGTGGCCAAGTCCCTTCTGTGTAGAACCTCAGTCTTCTCGACTATAAAATGGGGATGGGTGTAATGGGTGTAACTGTCTCTCAAAGTAAGTTTTCTTTTAAAGATTTATTTAAAATAAATCAGAGTTACACACACACACACACACACACACAGAGAGAGAGAGAGAGAATGTTCCATCTGCTGGCTTACTCCCTAAATGGCTGCAATGGCCAGAGTTGGGCCAATCTGAAGCCAGAAGCTTCTACCAAGTCCCCCATGTGAGTGCAGGGGCCCAAAGTCTTGGGCCATCTTCAACTGCTTTCCCAGGCCACAGCAGAGAGCTGGAAGTGGAGCAGCCGGGACTCAAACCTGCGCCCATATGGGATATGGCGCTGCAGGCAGAGGCTTTACCCGCTAAGCCATCATGCCGGCCCCTCAATGTAACAATTTTAACTCAGGGTAACAGTTCATGAGGATTGATGAGTTCTCAGGCAGAAAGCCAGCGACACAGGGCCTGGTACTGTCAGCTTCTTGTTGCCATCGCTAGGTGGGGAGACAGGAGGAGCGCATCTGAGAGCGTACCCAGAGCCTCGGGAGCCCCTGTTCCCCACGGCGGGCCTCTGGGCACCTGCTGCCTCCGGGGCTCCACGGCTCTTGGGGTGGCCTGCGCTGGCCTCCCAGCCCAGTCCCAGCCTCCGAATTCCTAGAGCGGTGGTGTTCTCACAGCCTGGGCCCACTTACAGGTCTTGGGCTTTCGGGCCGAGGCCTCAGCTCCTTATCCGTGCCTGCGGCAGGAAGTCCCGGAGGGTCTCTGACAGCTGCCCCCTTGCCAGCCTGGGCTGTCCCTTGGAGAGCCTGTGACTGGGGTGCATCTGGTGGCAGAGGACAGATGAGCTGGGTCAGAGGCCAACCCAGGCCACACCTCTCTCCGCAGCCAGAGAACATCCTGTGTGTCAACACCACGGGCCATTTGGTGAAGATCATTGACTTTGGCTTGGCACGGAGGTACCACCGGGGTGGGAGGGAGAGGGCAGGGCAGCCCTGCGGTCAGCCGGAGCAGGGCGGGGGGAAGGGTGCTTGGGAACTGGCCGGGAGCTGTGCTCTGAGCCCTTGGTCTCGCCCCCAGGTATAACCCCAACGAGAAGCTCAAGGTGAATTTTGGGACCCCAGAGTTCCTGTCACCTGAGGTGGTGAATTACGACCAAATCTCCGATAAGACAGACATGTGGAGCTTGGGGGTCATCACCTACATGCTGTGAGCCCCGAGGGCGGTCTCTGTGGGCGTGGGGTGGGGGTGTGTGAGGGGGTAGTCAAGGCCAAGACTGGCCTTTGGGTTCTGGTATAGTGCGGGAGGTTGGGAATACAAGGGTGAACCAGGAAAGGGGAACTTTGTACCCATTACATAGATGGAAAAACCAAGGCCCCTAGAGGCAGAGCTCAGGGCTCTGGACAACACATTTTGGATGACCCAGGGAGGGGGCAGAGGGGCAGTGCACATTCTTTTGTGCACTCTTCATTCATCATCTTCACTGTAACCCAGGGAAGCTGGGATGATTATACCCATTTCACAGATGAGAAGAGTGAGGCTCAGAGAGGGAAACTGACTTGCCCAAAGTCACTCAGCCAGACTCAGACCTCCTAGGAGGTGACTCACACCCCGCCCCTTGCCATTCCCTCCCCGAAGGCTGAGCGGCCTCTCCCCTTTCCTGGGAGATGACGACACCGAGACCCTAAACAACGTGCTCTCCGGCAACTGGTACTTCGACGAGGAGACCTTCGAGGCCGTATCGGACGAGGCCAAAGACTTCGTCTCCAACCTCATCGTCAAGGAGCAGGGGTGAGGCTCTGCCTGGGCTGTGACCCCGCATGCGCTCCCAGGGTGGAAACCGGGCCAGGAGCCCGCAGGGCTGCGGTGCCTCCCAGCGCACTGCCCTCTCTCACCCGCCCCGTCCCCTCCCACAGGGCCCGGATGAGCGCTGCCCAGTGCCTTGCCCACCCCTGGCTCAACAACCTGGCGGAGAAAGCCAAGCGCTGTAACCGACGTCTCAAATCCCAGATCTTGCTTAAGAAATACCTCATGAAGAGGCGCTGGAAGGTACCACGGGGCGGGGGCGGGAGGAGTCCTGGCACAGCCCCCAGTCCCTCAGCCCTGCTGCCCGGGGCTGGCGCTGTCTGGAAAACAGGGCTGAGTTTTCTCTCTGTGTCCTGGGCTGGCTTGTGCCCTGGAGCGCAGCCCTCCGCCCACCCCCCCCCCCCGGGTGGGGGGCGTCCGTGCGGGACTGGGTCTCGGGGCAGCGTCTCTGACCCCACCATAGGCTTCCTTCCTTCCCTTTCCACATGTCTACCGCGCAGCTACTGCGCCTGGGCGATGGGGGCGGCGCCCTGGACGGGCAGAGGCTCTTGGTCTCTGTGGACTCATTGGGGTGGGAGCTGGAGAGTTATTAGAAGCGGTGGGCAAGGGAGTCCCCTGCCCCCCAAACGCAGGGGTGAGGAGTGTCAGGGCCGAGGTTGCACTTGTGCTTTTTTTAAAAGATTGATTTATGTGGAAGACAAAGTGGCAGAGAGAAGGGAGGAGAGAGAGAGATCCCCCATCCACTGGGTCACCCCCTAGATGGCTGCAACAGCCAGGTCTGGGCCAGGCTGAAGCCAGGAGCCAGGAGCTCCATCCTGGTCTCCCATGTGGGCGACAGGGGCTCAAGGACTTCTGCCACCCCCTGCTGCCTTCCCAGGTACGTTAGCAGTGAGCTGGGTCAGGCAACAGAGGTCAGACTCAAGCCAGTGCTCTGATATGGGATGCTGGCATTTCAAGTGGTGGTTTAACCCAGTGCACCACAATGCCAGCGCTATGGTTGCACTTTTAAAAGAGGGGGTTAGGGAGAACTAAGAGGGAGGGGTGAGCAGTGCCAGTACTGAGGGAAGTGTTCCGGGCAGAGGGGGTGGCCAGTGCAAAGGTCCTGAGACAGAAACACTGTTGGTGATTTTGAGGAACAGGTAGGAGGCTGGTATGGCTGGAGTGGGCTGGGCAAGAAAGTAGGAATGAGGTCAGAGAGGAAGGAGGGGACCGGATGTGGAGGCCATGGAGGGACTTGTTCACCGTGGTGAGGAGCACTAGGGAAGCCGGTTGGAGCGGTTGAGCAGAGCAGCCGTGAGTTCAGATCTGGCTGGCGCCCTGATGCATGTTGTGCGCCTCCCACAGCCGGTTTGGGCCCCGCACCCTCTCTGGCCTCTGACCTCAGCCACCCCCAGCTTCTCCCCTGCCCCGGGTTGACTAGGATTCCCTCACCCTCCAGAAAAACTTCATTGCCGTCAGCGCTGCCAACCGCTTCAAGAAGATCAGCAGCTCCGGGGCACTGATGGCTCTAGGGGTGTGAGCCCCGAGCAGCGGAGGCCTGGACGCAGCCGCTCCCCGCCGGGGCTGAGGCCACACAGCCCGGAAAGCCAGAGAAGGCGGGCCAGAGCCCCTGGGCGGGCCGGCCAGCACAAGGCTGCGCCAGGCTGGGAGGCTCGGGGCTCCCCATGCCCCCATGCAGCGAGCGCTTCCCCGACGTGAGCCGCCGCCTCGGAGTGTGGCCTGGATGCAGCCTGCTAACAGCCTCCCCAGACAGAGCTCGGGCCCACCAGCCACGCCCCAGGCTCCATGGGCCCGTCCCACCACTCCCCTTCCCTCCCTGGCTCCCCCGTCTTTGAAGTCTGCTCTGGGGGCCCCTGCTTTGCCCTGCCTGGGGCGTCCGCAGCCTGGGCTTGCTCCTGGCGATGCTGGGCTGAGCTGGCCGGAGGTCCCAGCATGTGTGGCTTCTGCGGGTGTGAACGGGAGGCTCCTGGCGGCCCATTCCTAGGGCCCAGCTGCCAGGGGAGACAGAGCGGGCTTTGTGAAAGACCTCCGCGCCCTGCCGCCTCTTCTCCCAACAGATAAGACCCAATACGCACCATCTGGCCCCCACCCGCCCTCCGTGCGACCACCAACACACAGGAACTCTGCACCAGAGGGAGGACGCCCAGCTCGGGCCTGGCCGAGGGGGAGGGGAGGATCCTGGGGGACACCGGAGACCACCCCTGAGCTTGCCTGAGCGCCAAGGCGGGCCTGGCCCAACGCAGCCACTCCGGGCCTGTCCCAGGGGTCAACCATGGCCTCCAGTGATGGGGTCAGCAGGCCCAGGAGGAGCGGGAAGGCCATTGGGCAGCCCCCGCCCTGCTCTCAGCTTGTGCCTTGTAAATAAATGTACAGGTTGGATGTGGCCTGCTTGCCCCTGTGTGAGGTCACAGCCCGCTGTTGTCAGTGAGCACCTGCTGCGCACTGTGTGCCTCAGTGTCCTCACACAACAGCCACTATCTGCGGGGGATCACAGAGTGCTGGGTGCCCCGGCGGGCTGGGCATAGGCGGGCTGGGCACAGGTGGGCTGAGCACAGGGGGGTCTTCACTTACAACCCACAGCCACGTGGCACAGTTGAGACTATGGAGGGGGAAAGGAGCCAGAGATAGGGAGGTAAGGGGAGGACCCGCGTCGCCGTGTGGGTGATGCTTCCCTTGGCCACAGGGAGGCAAAGCAGCCCTCTGCCAGCGCTGGTGTCCTCATGCTCACCCAGCGGGCGCAGACAGTGAGGCCCAGAGAGGGGAAGGAACGTGAATGGGAGTCAACAAGCCAGGGGTGGGGCAGGCTCTGCCGGTGAGCTCGCGCTGGCCTCGCCACAAGGAGGTAGGAGCCGAGAGCAGGGCTGGCCAGAGGGGCAGGCCCGGGGCCTCTGCTGCCCTGCCATGATGGGGCCTCCCAGGAGGCCTCGGGGGAGGGGCTGCTGGGCACCGGGCTGCACTGGGGCTCCGTCTGCTGGAGGGGACAGCCCAGAGGGCAAGAGTGTCCGCCTGATCAGTTGTAGCCTTTCCGGCTGTGGGGACAAGTGAGTCAGGAGAGGGACGGGGGACACAGAGGGCCCAGCAGTTAGCACGCGGCGAGCTCCTCATCCCCTTGGCTGCTCACGGCGACCTGCCCCGGGAGAATGTTGCCCATCTCTCGGAGGGGCAAGGCGAGCCTCAGGGAGCTCCATCCACTTGCTCAGGGTCACACAGCTCATCAGTGGCTGAGCCAGGGTGTCTGGGCCTCCTGCTCTTGACCACGGCACTGGCTGCCTCCTGAGCCACCTCGGATTTGTCCGTGGTGTTCACTTCATCCCTGTCTGCCTCCGTGAACATAGGCCTGAAGCGTGAGGCCAGGGTCCCCACCCCCTCCCCTGCCCTGATCAGCAGGTGCCACAGGAGGAGGGGCCCGAGTCTGACCCTTATAATTGAGGGCCCGGGGAGCCTGGCTTGGGCTTTGGGTGGGAGGTGAGCTTATGGGCAGGGCTCCCAGGGCCACAGCTCCTTGCCTCCTGGCCCGCCACCTGCCAGCTGGGCCAGGCCTGTGGTTTCCTCTGAGTGGTTCCCTTAGCCTCGCTGGCCTCCACCCAGGCTGAGCCTGGGCCACACAGCGTGATGATGAGGGATGAGTCACCGCTGAAGGCGGAGGGCAGACAATGAAGTCCAGCCAGAGCGGAGGGCCGGGGCCTGGATTTGGCTGGGGAAATTGAGGCCGAAACCAGGCAGACCCCCTCATCAGAGACCCCAGCAGCTGGGACAGGCCCCGAGTCCCACCGAGAGTCTCTGTTTCAGCCTCCGTAACATGAAAATGACTGCCTCAGCTCTCCTCTCCTCCGTCAGCCCCGGGGCTGGTGTGAGTCCAGCTTGGAGGCGTGCGTTCCCCATGGTCCACAGAAAACAGGCTCAGAGAGGGAAAGTGACTTGCCCAAGGCCACACAGCCAATTCATATGTCTTAGGTGAGAAACCCACTCAGAACCATGGGCCAGGGCTCACTGCTGCTCCAGATCCCCCCCCCTCCCCCCAGGAGCGCCTCTAAGAAAGCTCTTTCTGATTCCTCAGACGTCCTTGAGCTACTTCTGGTCCCTGGAGGCAGGGAAGGCGTAGCCTTGACATCGCGGATGAGGGACCGCAGTTCGGAAAGACTTGCTTCCTCCTGAGGGCCAGAGCCCACTCAGGGCCAAGCCGGTGCCGCGGCGCTGGTGTAGCCCTAGGGTGGCTCCCCCGCAGGCCGGGGCCCCAGCCCTCTTGCCCTCAGTGGACCTCCCATGCCTGGAAGCCACAGGGAAGGGAATCGCCCCACTGGAGGGAGGGAACCCATAGCTGGTTTGGGACGGCCACACTAGCACTAGGACTGAGCAAGGGGCCGGGCCAAGGCTCTGGGCTTGGGGTCCTGCGGTTCCCAGGGTGCTGGCTGTGAACTTCCCTGCCTCTTGCATGCTTTGCCCTGCCCACCGCAGTAGCAGGGTCATGGGCTTCCCCTGCGCAGAGTGCCCCACGGTGCCCGTGTCCTGATCGTCCCCTGCAAAGCGACCCGGGACCACCAGCTTCCCCTGCTCGGGGTCCTGGACCCCTTTTGTGGGCTAAGCAGGGTTAACCCCCTCGATGGGACCGCTCCTCCCTGTTGGTCACAGCTCAGATTTTCTCCGAACCATTTCCTGCCTCTGGGCCTCAGCCAGGCCCACAGTGACCACCCCCATGGGTCTGGAAGCCACTGAGGCCACATCTGGTTTGGATTACACCAGAGCTGGTGACGCTGCCTTTTCCTGTCTGGGTCCAGTGGCCTCGAATTCCACCGGCCACCTTGGACCCGACAGCACAGTGGTGGGAAAAGATTTAGCCAGTGACAGGACTGTTGTAAGGGTGTGAAGCAGCCAGTGCTTTCCCCGGGGGCTGGGGCTGGGGAGGGCCATCAGAGGGGCTCCTACCCTGCGGCTGCCCTCACACTTCCCTCCCTCGTCCCTTCTTCCCCTCTGGTGAACGCCATTCATTGAGCACTAGGCACGCTATCAGGTGACACCCATGTATTAGCTCATCCCCCCCCCCCCCCGCCATGAGTGGGTATTTCTGTTATCTGCATTTCACAGACAGGGAAACGGAGGCACAGGCTGTGTGTGGACAAGTCCGCAGGCTCCAGCAGGTGGCAGGCAGGCAGTCTGACTTGGCATGCGTCCAGTCACCTCATAGCGTTTGTCGGGTCCTGCTCTGTGCCTGGGGTCGAGTGAGAACCTAAAGACAAATCAGCCGTGGTCCCGGGGTCCCTGCGGTGGAGGCGCTGCCAGCCTCTGGGAGCCAGGGACGGGCATGGGGATGAGGGGGAAGCCGGGAGGAGACTCAACCATGGAGACAGGAGGGAGATGGCAGGCCCGTTCTCTTCCCCCTAGTGGGGGCTGACACCCAGCTGAGCACAGAGGAGGAGCAAAGCTTTCCCACTTAGGAAGGGTAGACAATGAGGAGGGTGCGCGGGGGCAGAGGGGGCAGAGGGCAGTGCCTGCCCACAGACCTGCAGCAGAGCAGCCCAGGAGGGGTTTTGCCCATGATGCGGCTGGAAGCAGGATCTGATGGAGTCGGGGCAACTGGGAGCTGAGGGAGCGTTCTGAGCGAAGGGCGATGGCCAGATCCACGCTTTGTTAGGATCCCGGCAGCCAGCAAGGTCTGGGGATGGGAGAGAGAGACTGGCAGCTGGGCCACGGCGGCCGGGGAGGCCGAGAGAACCATGGGGGGACGGGGGCGGGAAGCTCGGCTCCGCATCCCCAGGGGGACGGGCTGGTGATGGGGATGTTGGGTACCAGGTCGGGGGAACAGAGTTCAAATCCGCTTCTTTGTCCTCTCTGAGCCTCCGTTGTGTCTGTAGAATCTGGCAAGGACAGGGTCTGCTTCCCAGAGGCTCCGCACAGCTCCGCGAGGGGTGCAGGTTGCTCTGGAGCCTCCACTGTGTCCCAGATGCTGTTCCAGGGGCTGGGGACTAGCAGGGAGTCGACCAGAACCCCGGCCTCCTGGGACTTCATTCTAGAGGGGAAACACTGCAGCGCCGTCAGGGCTTGAGCACGTGTTGCCTGGGAGGACGTGGAGGACGTCACACTCAGGGGCCTTGAGCAGACAGAAGGTGGTGAGGCAGGGAGCCCTGTGGATATCAGTGGGAGGCTGCTCCGTGCAGACCGGAGAGTGAGAGATGAAGACATAGCGTCCGCACCGGACCCACCAGGGCTGGGCTCTCACTCTGATGAGGCAGGGAGGGGCTCTTTGGGACTGAATCCGCGTGGACAGGTGACTGCGGCTGCCACTCAGCAAACCTTTGTGGAGAGCCCAGTGTGTGTGAGCCAGCCCCCCCACATACACCCCTGAAGCTCGCGTGCTGAGGTAAGAGACACAGCAACAGGTGCATACCACACGTGTGCGTCATTCCACATGGCCGTGGATCAGATCAGGGGTAGGCAGCTCCTCAGAGGGGGTGATTTGACTTGGTCTTTGGATGTCGAGGGGCCCGCCAATGGGGAGAGGGCGTTCCAGGCTGAATCAACCGTGAGTACCAAGGCCTAGAGATGGAAAAGGGACCCTGGGCGAGTCGGTTGTCCCGGAGGAGCAGCAGCCCGCTCCAGCCTCTCTCGTTTGAACCCGTGTGAGATTAGGGCCCCTCAGGCCTGGCCCCCAGGGCTGTGCTCGGCAGGAGGCAGGCCTGGCCTTCTCGGCGGGATGGGGCCTCCGGCCTGTTTGTAGCCATGGAACCGTCTTCCTCTGCCCCACCAGCTCTCTCCCTGGGTCACCACCCAGTTACCGGCAAGGCAGGACAGGGGATTAGGCAGCTCTGACCCTGCTGGGCTGTGGGCTGAGGGTGTGAGGCCTCCAGTGGGGCTGCTGCACTCTAGTTTCACTCCTGTTAACAGACTTATTCACGCAGTGTGTAGGACACCAGAATTGGGGGGAATCATTCGGCCCATTTTACAGATGCAGAAACCAAGACTCAGAGACGTGAACCTGATTGCTTAAGGTCACACAGCCAGGCAGGGAGATGCCAGAACTTGAGGCCACTGCCCTTCTCCCCTGCACGCTGCCTCTCCCCTCACTGTGATCAGCCACTCCTCTGGGAACACAAGTCAGACTCAGAGGGACATGCCTGGAACCCAAACCCCTACTGATTTTTTTTGAAAGATTTATTTATTTTACTTGAAAGAGTTACAGAGAGGGAGAGAGAAAGAGAGAGAGAGGTCTTCTACCCACTGGGTTCACTCCCCAAATGGCCGCATGGCTGGAGCTGTGCCAATCCAAAGCCAGGAGCCAGGAGCTTCTTATGGGCTCCCACGCAGGTGCAGGGGCCAAGGACTTGGGCCATCCTCCACTGCCTTCCTAGGTCATAGCAGAGAGCTGGATTGGAAGAGGAGCAGCCGGGATGTGAACCGGTGCCCATGTGGGATGCTGGTATCGCAGGTAGTGACTTTACCCGCTATACCTCAGCGCCAGCCCCTAGTGTCCACATTTTAGAGGTGAGGGAAACAGAGAAGGAAGGCAGCTTGTCTAAGGTCACACAGCTAGGAAGTGGCTGAGCTGGGATGTGGACCCAGGTGGTCAGCCTCCACCGGAGGCACCTCCTGCCTCTGACGGGCAGGCCGGTGGGCATGGCGGGAGTCTGTGGGGGAAGGGCTGTTTCAGCTGAGGCCCGGTCTCCTGGGTCCCCACACTCCCAGCAGGCGGACGTGCCAGGCTGGGGGCAGGAGCGTCTCGCTCTGGGCGGTGGAATGCCATAAAGCAGGGAAGGAAGCAGTGGGCGGGAGAGAGGCCGGGAGATAAGACGAGGGTGGAGGGCCCTCAAGGAAAGCTGGGCCGTGGGTGGGGGTGGCTCCTGGTGGCCGGGCGGGGCGGGGGGGCGCCCTCTGCCCTGGGAGAGAAGAGACCCCGCCAGTGTCAGGTGGGACAGGGCCCTTTCCTGCAAGCCCGCGGGGTGTCAAGCCCTTGGCGTGGGGGAGGGGCTCAGCAGAGGAGCAGGAGACGCCCTTCTCGCTCTGACATCCCAAGAATCTGGGCTGGTGGTGTCAGAACGCCGGACTATTCTGAAATGCCACTGGGATGTTCCCTGGCCTAATCTGCAAGGTGACTCAGTATCCCTTTTGTTCCAAACTGATGAGAGGAGGAGCAGGCACTGGGACCCCTCCTGGAGACAGATAAGCCTCCTAAGGGTCAGATGCAAATGCCCTGTGCCCTGGGAGCCACCTGCCGAGGGCCAGAGGGCGTTCTATGGATCGGAGAACCCAGGTCTGCCCCTGCCGTGCTGTGTGGCCTTGGGCATGCCACTTGCCTTCTCTGGCCTCAATCCCTGCACCTGTGCCAAGACTCTGTCTCTGGGTGCGCGCACATGGATCAGGCACTCCGGAGCTCTGCAGAGCCAGGCCCAGGTGGGGGTGGGCAAGCGGGAGCCCAGAGGTGTCTGTGGGTCATGGAAGGAATGTGAGGGCAAGAGGCCCAGTGGGTGGGGGCCCTGGGCCGGGCAGCGAGCAGAGGGCAACATGATGTCATGGTGTCTAGGTCTGCTGGGATGGGGCCTCCTCCAGGCCGTCCCTCAAGTCAGCCTCCCCATCCCCCATCTGCTGGGCAAAGGGAGGAAAAGCGAGGCCCGGAGAGGTGGGCACGGGTCCAGCATCAGGCAGCGAGGCCAAGGCCGGCGCTGAGCCCAGGGTTCTGCCTGGGGACTGGGGCCCAAGGGGCTGCCGCTCAGAGCTCAGCCTGTGCAGCTGGGGCAGTTGACCCTTCCACACATTCCCCCAGGGCCACCCCAGCTCAGCGACTGCACCTCCTGGGGGCTGCCGGGGCCTGGGCTCCCCCAGCCCCCAGCGCGGCCTCCTTTCCTCTTTCCCGCTCAGGCAGGACACAGGCTGGGAAGGCACAGGGTCACCGGGGCTCCTCAGGAATGTACAGCCGGGAAGGAGGCCTGGCTGTGTTGAGAAAGAGCCCCCCGACGTGCCCGCATCACTCACACGCACACCCCGAGATGGCCAGCTGTGCTACGAACCCATCCTCCTCTCCAGCCTCCAGCCTCCATCCTCCTCTGCCACGAGGGGCCTTTCTCCTGTCCCCTGTGACTCCTGGGCCTGCCTGAGGCAGGACAGACCCTCACTCCCTCCCCCACTGGGTGACAGGCTCTGGGGGCAGCAGTAAGGGCAGGGAGGGGCCCCACAGCTGGCCGGGCACTTTCCCAGCCCCTTCCGGCCCCAGCAGGCCCCCACCCCGGCTCTGGAGTCTGTGGGAACCAGACAGTTCGGGCTGTCCAGCCGGGCTCACTTCCTCCCAGGCCCCAGGGGACTTGCCGAGGGAGGAGGAGGCCACAGAAGCTGAAGTCACTGTGGCCGCCTGCCCAAGGGAGGGCCTCTAGAGGGGCCTGGGCTGCTTGCCTCTGATGGGGTCCTCAGTCTCCAAGCCGTCATTCCACATCAAAGACCACAGTGGGGGTGCCCCAGCACCCATCATCCAGATGGGAACACTGAGGCTCTGGGGAGGAAGATGTTGGCCACTTCTCCTTCATGGGGGCTGTGGGGACAGTGCGGTTTCAGATTCTGACCCTCAGATGGGGGCTGCGGATACCCCCATTTCTCCTTCCACCCAATGGGTACTAGAGGAAGTCAAAGGTCAGGGCTCAGTCACTGCAGATCTGCACCCAGGACAGCTGGGGTCCTTGTCCCTGCTCAGGGAGAAAAGCTTTCTCAGGGTCCCTGGGAGACCAGAGAGGCGCCCGTCCGCGTGGGGAATGCACAGAAGGTGACAGGCCCTGGGCTCCCTGCCTGTGCACGGAGCCTGCCTTTCCAGCCCTGGCCTTCCAGGAACTCGGCCCTCCCCCACCCCACCCCCCGCCCGGGGGTGGTCACCACCAGCCCTGCACCCTCCCTCCCTCACACTGCAGGCCACAGCTCCCCTCTGCCACTCACTTGCCATCTGGGGCTGGAGCCGGCAAAGCCCCCGCCCCTCTGAGCCTGTTTCCACCACTGTACCATGCAGGTGGGCCGGGGGACAGTAGAAATGCCACTGTCGGTCACAGTACCTGTGACTGCTCAGACTGGAGACTGCCGAGTCACAGGGCCCAGGCTCCGGAATCAGCCCCACAGGCCAGCCCTGCCGCACCCCTGCCCGGCGTCTTCCTTGGTGGCATGGCTCCCCTCCCCTCCCCCATGCCCTGCTCTCTTCCTCAGCCCCTCTGGGAAACTCCCTAAGAAAGTCCCCAGCAGGGGGACAGCCTCCCGGGAGACATTCCCAGCCAGGGTCCCTTCCCCCCACCCCGACCGCAGCCGCCCCACGCTGACTGGGCGGCCCGGTTGCAGCCCCCCGACACCCAGCGAGCTGACCCTCAGCATCACACGGCTTTATTGCCCCAACAGCCACAAAGCACACCCAAGGGGCCCTTCCCCTCACCCCCAGTTTGTCCAGAGGCCCCAGGGCCTGGCTGAGTGTTCACGGTCTCCATCCGGGATTCCTGGCCTGGCGTCCTTGGCCCGCCGCGACTGGCTCCTCGAGAACTCGGATTCTGCAGCCAGGCTGGGCCTGGAGGCTATCGTTGCCAGGGGCCCCGCTGGGACCGCCTGAGGCAGGGCTGCCTTCACTCGAAGAAGAACATTCCTGGTGTCCGGTAGAGGCAAGGGGTGAGCCCCAGCGGGCAGCCAGAGCCTCCCTGGCCAGGGAAGCCCCCTGCCACCCAGGGGTCCTTGGGGTCAGCCGGCAGGGGCAGCGGGGGCCGGAGTGAGGCTGGGGGCGTGGGTGGTGCAGGGGAGGGGGCTGCAGACGTCAGGAGGTGCTCAAGGCCCGGGTCGGCGCCCATGCAGAAATTCAGCGCCTGCAGCCGGCACTGGTAGCTGCTGCCGATGCCCGCCTCCGAAGGCAAGACAGGTGCAGGGGCCTTGCTGAAGCCCTCTGCTTCCGAGAACCCGGCAGGGAAGCCAAACGCGGGGCACGGAGACGGCGACGGGGCCGCGGAGAGCTCCCCTGGGCCTGCAGGCTTGGGTGCCGACATCTCCTTGGGCTCCGTGTGCAGTCGGGGCCTGGCATCAGCGGTTGCCAGGCCCACGCTGCCTGGCAAGGCTCCCACGAGGCCCCCGAAGCTCAGGCCCTTGGGGTCTGGCAGCTCTGGCGGAAATGGGCATTGCCTGTCGGTCCCGGGGGTTGGGACCCCTGGGTCCTGGCTGGTGGCTCTGAGGGGTCCGCGGCGTGCCTTGGTGGGGCTCTTGGTGCCCTCGGCAGCCGGCCGCCGGGTGAAGCGGCGGCGGCGGCGTAGGAAGCTGCCATGCTCGAACATGTCGTGACAGTCAGGGTCGAGCGTCCAGTAGCTGCCCTTGCCTGGCTTGCGGTCGTCGCGCGGCACCTTGACGAAGCACTCGTTGAGCGACAGGTTGTGGCGGATGCTGTTCTGCCAGCCGGGCCGGTTGTGGCGGTAGAAGGCGAAGCGGCCCATGATGTAGCGGTAGATGCCGCTGAGGGTGGCTCGCTGGCCTGGTGAGCTCTGGATGGCCATGGCGATCAGGGCTATGTAGCTGTAGGGAGGCTTGGTGGGCTCGGCCGAGGGGGCCAAGGGCCCCGGGGGAGGCTGCTGCTGCATGCTGGCCGGGACCACGGGGGCCAGGCACGGCGTCCAGGGCTGGCGTCCGGCTCGGCCTGGCCAGGCTGGTTAAAAGCCTCACTGGCCCAGCCTCCCGGCCTGGAAAGGCAAAAAGGGGTGGACCCGCCGGCTGCCCTCCCCTCCTTCCCCGCCCCCTCCTCCCTCAAGGCCCAAGAGGGGGGCGGGCAGGCAAGGCCGGCACTGGGGAGCCGTGAGCAGCTGCCAGAGGTGAGGAGGTGGGAGGGAGGGGACTGGGACCCTCAGCCCACATGGGTGGCGGTGGCTGGGGAGGGACAGGATGTGAGACTGAGTGAGACAGGGTCAAAAAAAGAGAGAGGCAGAGAGAGAGAGAGAGAGAGAGAGAGAGAGGAGATGCCGACATGACGAGAGAAAAAGGCAGAGACAGAGAAAGAAAAAAATGAGATGGACAGATAGAGACACAGAGCCAGAGAGGGGCACACTGCCCCCCCCCCAGACAAGGACTATCCAGAGAATCTTAGAATTCCTGAGACAGAGAAATGAAGAGAGCCACCGAGAAAGGAGATGCAGAGAGAGACAGGTCCAGGCCCAATGGGGGTGGGGACGCAGAGAGAGAGAGATGCTGATGAGAGGCGGGAGGGAGGCACAAGCCGCAGATCCCCAGGGAGTGGTGGAAGTCCCAGGCCCCCAGATCGCCCCCAGTCCTGCTCTGCCTCTCCTCCCTCCAGGCCTGTGGTCTCTCTCCCTGCAGTGCACAGCCCTTGGGCCACACTGTTCCCCGTCCTGGCCTTGGGGAATGTGTTGGAGGGGTGCCTAGCCTGCTGAGGAGAGCCGGTGAAACCCCAGTTCTGCCAGGCCCCTGGCGCCCTCTAGTGACTGGCGCGGGGAGGGCCGCTAGCGGGGCAGAGACCCTCTCCCAAGAGGCACCTGAAGAGCCTGCCCCGGGCCTCAGTTTTTCTGTCTCTACAATGGAGTTCTTCAGTTGTCCAGGCCATGGTGAGAAGGCAACAGGCTCCCTTACACAGCAGCCAGCACTGTAGGGGATAGGGGTGTGAATATAGCTGTGGGTTGTCACTCACCTGAGGCCCAGCCTGGGGCCAGGGTTCAGGCCTTCCGACAGTAGGGGCAGCGTGCTCCCTGCTCTCCCACCTCCAGGTCCGTGGTCCCCTGCTCCAAAGCGGGCCAGTTCGCTCTGCCCCCTGCACTGACTCCGCAGACCAACCCTGCTCTGGGGCTCTCCCATAGCTTCTTTTCAATGGATAAAGAATCTGAGGCTCAGAGAAGTAACCCATCTGAGGTCACACAGCCGGTGAGTGACACAGCTGGGACTTGAACGGAGGATTCTGCAGCTCCTTAGCGGCATCCCTTCTGTGAGCGCAAGGGGTGGCTGACACTCCCTGGACTCCCGCTGGGAAACGTGCTGTGAACCAGCACCCAGCGCTGGGAACCAGATGCAGCGGGTGTTCAGTGAACATGAATGACGAACACAACAGGGGACAGAATTCTGCCTTTTCTGTCCTTTGAACAATCACCCAGCTTCTCCCCAGCAAAGTGCTTTCTTAATGACAGATAAGACAATGTTTATAAAGATTTGCATAGAGATTATTTATAGATGAGCTCATTATAGATTACTTATAGAATCATCATATAATCAATATATAATTGAATCATATACATAGTTATAATATAAACAATGCATTATAATTTATAATTACTTACAATATTATGTATTATATACATTACAAATATATAGTATGCATATATTTACATATAATATACATTAAATATAAACATACCATATAGTCCTATATAATATAAATATGCAATAAATGAATATATTATAAATTATATTATACAATTGTATTATAATTAGCATATTATTTTTTATATTTAATTTTATTTATATAGTTATTATACATTATTTATTTGTAGATAAATAAATATATATTTAGATAGGTAGGTAGGTTACACTAGATTTGATGTTGGCCTCTGTAAAATGATTCCTGGCCAGCGCCGTGGCTCAATAGGCTAATCCTCCGCCTGCGGCACTGACACCCCGGGTTCTAGTCCCGGTTGGGGCGCCAGATTCTGTCCCGGTTGCCCCTCTTCCAGGCCAGCTCTCTGCTGTGGCCCGGGAGTGCAGTGGAGGATGGCCCAAGTGCTTGGGCCCTGCACCCCATGGGAGACCAGGATAAGCACCTGCCTCCTGGCTTCGGATCAGCGCGGTGCACCGGCCGCAGCGGCCATTGGAGGGTGAACCAACGGAAAAGGAAGACCTTTCTCTCTGTCTCTCTCTCTCACTGTCCACTCTGCCTGTCAAAAAAAAAAAAAAAAAAAAAAAAAAGATTCCTACAAAAAGGTCAGAAATCAGAAGCGGAAAAGCTCTGACCCGCGGTGGAGCGCAGTTTCTCTACTGGCCGGCAGGGGGCGGTGTAGGTGCCCTCTCCTGCTTACCGCGGGATCCCTGACGCTCACAGCCGGGCGGCACGGGCTGCCCTCCCTCCGTGGCCCCTGCGCTGGAGCCGGCCTCGGCTCTAACAAAGACAGCGCCTGCAGCCGCTGCTGGCTCCCTGGCCAGCGTCCTGTGCCCGGGGTTCGGGCTGAGTTCTCTATTTAAGGGTCTGCAAACGCCGAGCCTGTCTGCGGCCTGGGAATTTTGTCACCGACGGGCCGCGCTGTGAACCCTGTGGATCCAGTCCTGGGATCCAGCCCAGCTGTAAGCAATGCCCTGACGAACTCCGTGGCTGGTTGAGGCCGGCAGGAAGTGAGGCGCCGGTGGCACGCTGGGCCTGAGCGAGAGCCCAAGTCTTGTTTCCCACTTGCCGCGCATCTGGGGCCTCACGGGCAGCTCCGTCCCTGCGCCCGCCCGGGAGGCCGAGGGCCACCGTCCACTTCCGCTGGCCTCCTCCCCCGGCGGCCCTAGCCACCAGTACGGGGAGCCCCGAGCCCCGGGCGCAGGTAGGAGAGGCTGCAGCGGCCGGGGCGCCGCTGACAGCTGCGCCGGGAGGTGGGGTGCTGGGGTGGGGCCCCTGCTCGGCCTGCCAGGAGCAGGGAGGCCTGCGGCAGTCCCAGCCTTAGCCACGGCCCATTGTCCAGGCAGGCCCGCAGAAACCAAAGGTTGCCCAGGGGCGGCGCCCGGGGCCGAGGAGCGAGGACGGGGGCGTGGCTCCCGGCTTGGGCGGAGGGCTGCGCTCAGCGGGCCGCCGTCTGGCCTCGGGCTCTGGGTGGCCATCCTGCAGGTGGGCTCGCAGTTCTGCGGGCAGTGACGCGTGCGGGCTGGGTCAACTACCGGTCACCCCCACACGCCTGGAGCCCGGCCCGTGCTCACGCCCCTTCCTGCGCCAGGCCCAGTTCCCTGTCTCCACGTCTGGCTGGTGTCCCACGTCTGTGCTGATCGATCCGAGCGCATGTCCCCTATGCCCACTCCCATTGCCTTGTGCTGATCTCGTGCCCAGCACCCTGCAGGGCGCCCCTGCGCCCACACGGGTACCCAGGTCCCGGGCTTCTGCCCCGCCTTTCTGTGCCCACCCCCGCCTGCCGACCTCCGGAGCTGTGCCCGACCTCTGGGGGCCCACATTGTTTCCCACTCCCCGTGCTTCCGGGCCATGTCCTTTGTTTCGATGCCCACCCCATACCCAGCACCTTCGAGCTCATTCCCCTGCGCCCGCGGCGCCCGCCACCGCACGGCCGCGCCCTCCCCGCTGGGACAGCAGCGCGGGCCGGGCAGTTGGCGGGCCGCACGCGCGCTCCAGCTCGTTGCGCTGCGCTCCGTGCAGGACAAGCGGGCCGCGCCAGTACACGCTGCCTTGGCACAGGCGCGTGGCGAACGGACCCTCGGGCGCCACCCACGGCAGCACCCCGCACTTCAGGTGCGGCCACAGGTGCCGTGGCAGGTGCGCACGGAACAGCGGCTGCCAAAGCGGACCTACGCAGCGCGTGGTGGCGGCCCCAGCGGACTCAGAAGGCAGCGCTCGGCGGAGCCGCAAGGGCAGCCAGCCATCTGCGGGGCGAGGAAGGAGGGCGGCCACCTTGGCGAGGTTTCCCTTCCTCACCCCCTCCACCACGGGTCAGGCGACCCACAGGTCCTCCTCGCCCTCCCCATCAGTGATGGCAGTGACTCTTGTAGTAGCAATAGTAGTAGTAGCAACAGCAGCAGCACTACATAACAGCTTCCAACATAAACCACCCGTGGTCCAGCGCGGTAACCACAAGCAGCCTCACCGGCCCTGGAGAGCACTCCCAAGGATGCCTCCCATACACGAAGCCCTCTGCCAAGGTTAGCTGTTAAGGGGTTGTTCCAGGGGGTCTGCATGTGGATGGGAGACGGAGGCCGGCTGCCCCACTCTGAGCCCTCCCCAGTTCAGCCGCTGTCAGAGGGGAGGGTGGGCCATTAGATGCCTCACCAGGGTTGCCACAGGGGTGTCTGGTGGCCCATGCCTGGTACCCCAGGAAGTAGGGGAGCGGTTAGGGCCCCTCCCCCTGACTCCTCCCCACCTCCATCCAGGAGAATGGGGAGGAGGCAGGTGGGTGGGGCCGTCCTTGCTGGGTCAGCCAGGGGGCCTGGCAGGAGGGGCCCTGCGGGGCCAGCCTGAGGGGCTGCTGCTTGTTGTCACCCTCTGTGAGCACTGGGACAGAGGATCCTGACTGTGAGAGGAGACCTGGGGGCCGCAGGAGTTCCCAGACTGTCCCCGCCGGCCCGCCCTGCCTCGCCCAGGGCAGGGAGGGGTCTGGGCGCACTGAAGCGCAGCTGGGGAAGTTTCAGGTCTCAACACTGTCCCCAGTGGGGAGGGAAAGAAATTGGGGGGGAAGTGTTGGAGGTGATGGTCGCCGTACTGGGAAGCACAGTGCAGGGTGAATGTGGAGAAGGAGCTAGTGATGATGGAGATGGGGACAAAGCTGTGGGAGGGGCCCCAGGGACAGTGGGAGGGACCAGAACTGATGGCCGGGTCCACAGACTGAGCCGCAAACCTCAGATGAGAGGAGAGGTGGGGGGAGGCAGAGCCTATGGGGTAAGGGAAGCAGTGCCTGCTGGAGCCAGGGGTGAGCAAGGGGCAGGGGGCACAGTGACGGACCCATGGGCCATCTGGGAGCTGAGTGTGATGGGGTGATGGGCACAGGGGGGAAGTGGCAGAGGTGGGAGGGGGGAGCAGAGTTGGCGGGGGGGGGGAGCTGATGGGGGCGGGATCAGTGGTGGAGGGGTAGGGCCAGGGAGTGGCTTGCGTGGGAGGTGACAGCTGGCAAGTCTTAGGACTGGAAGGACACTCCGACCTGGTCTGTCCTGCAGGTGGGGCTCAGTCACGTCCCCGGGGCTGCTGGCTGGATCAGGGAAGTGCCTTTTGTGTGAGGAGCAGCACAGACCCTGGGGACTGCTGACCCCCAGTAGGAGTGCCCCAGCTCCCTGTGTGACCTCAGGAAAGGCCACGGGTCAGTGAGCCTTAGCTTCCTGCTTTACAAATGGTCTAAGGGCCCTGAATTTATCAGCCCGTGGATTTAAGCTCAACGAGTCCACCATTTCCTGTTGTAAGTAGACAAAGTGAGGTCCTTACTGCCCAGAGAGCCGCCCTCAGCTACTGCCTACAGGGGCGGGATGGGACCTGGGCCACGGGCAGCGTCACACACAATGTGGGAGGCCTTGTGGGGGCAGAGATGCCCACTGGCTGCACTCGGGCGCCTCCGGAAGTCGGCACTCTTGAGAGCACCGAGGAGCCGAGTCTGCCTGGTGGAGGGTGCTGGTCAGGGCCCTCCAGGTACTTGCCCTGGTACACGGCCCAGGCCTGCACACGACAGGGGAGCTGGGGAGGGGGCTGGTGCCATGCAGGGGGAGGACGGACTGCCTGTCTCCCACCCCTCTTTCTCTCCATCTCCCCTCCCTCCCTGCTTTCCTCCTATCCACCCGTCTCATAGTCTTCAATCTCCTTCTATATTCTATGCCTTAGCTAACACTGAGGATTGAATGAGGAATAAAACAGATATGGTCCCTGCTCTAATGGGAAAAGCCAGCTGCAATCAGCTAATCAGAAACACTTTCCAGGTGATGGAGTGTGATAAGTAAAAGAGAAAATAAATGAGGTGATGGGATAGACAGTGATGGCCGAGGTTTGTATCTGGAGAACTGTGCAATGAAACCCCCGTCCCGTTGCCACAGACAACGTGGACTCCTGATCATTTAAGGAACCACAAGTAAGAGGCAGAACTAAGATTCATGAGAATAATGTAGAAGAAATCTAAGGGACAGAGAAAACTTTAGACAAAACTTGGGCGGCAGGAACCAGAAGGCCAAAGAATTGCAATGTCTGCAATCAGGATCTAGAACGCAGAAAGAACTGCAAGTGGACAAGAGGCGGGGGGCTTCCCCTAAGGAAAGTTCTCATCAAAAGACAGGAATCGGGGTTTGTGGGAGAGGAAACCAGAATTCCACAGGCATGTGAGGAGGTGCTCAAACCCCTCAGTGTCCAAGAAATGCGAATAGAAACGGGAGAGGTGCCAGCAGGAGTCGGCAGGGCTGTGGGCACTGCTGTGGGCACTGCTGGGGCTGTGTGTGGCACGGGCACCACCCCTGGGATTAACCTGGCACGCTGGGTTAAATTAAGACCAAACCCGTGAGCAGATGCCCCCGTGCGAAGGGAGGCTCACAGGGGCTCTTAAAGGGGCCTGCTTAAGGAGACCCACAGTGGGGCTGGAAGTTGGAAGCAAACTTATGTCCCTCCTGGGAAGGTGGCTCTGTGTGCGTGTAATGGGTGCCCACCATGCAGTCTATCAGCATCTAGAAGCAACAGATTAGATCTGCAGAGAACAAGAACAGATCCTCGGAGCGCCGTCACGACTGAAAGAAAAGTGAGTCCACAGAGCGAGGTCCGTCCTCAGCATGAGGTGATGTGCATGAGGTAAGAGCACACGCACAGCCACACACACGCAGCCCAGAGGCGTTCGCTTGAGCACGCTAGGGCGGCTGTCTGGGCGGAGGGACTAGATCAATAATGAAAAAGCGAGGGGCTGCTTTGGAGCGGGTGATAAGCAAAGGTCTCTTGGAGGAGGGGTGCTGGCTGAAGCCTGGATAAAAATGAAGACCGCAGCCTGATGAAGAGCGGGGTGGGCAGGGTGCTCCAGGTTAAAGGAAGAGCACGTGCCAAGGGCCTGAGGTGGGAAGGAGATGGAGCGATTCAAGAAGGCGGGTGTAGGGAGGCCGTTAGGAGATGTATTGCTACGGGGCCACGGGGGATTTACCTGCCCACTCAGTCCTGTCCTCAGTCTCCACGTCTAGTGGGACACAGGGACGCCGAAAGAGAAAGCCAGAGTTGGTGTTAAGTGCTGGGGCGAGCCCTTCTGAGGTTGGATTTTGCTGTCTGTGAGCACCGTCTACAGGTGTCTGTAATACGTAACCTCCCGTAAGGTTGGCTGCAGTATGCGAAGTGGTTGGCATGGTCATTGGCATACGGCCAGTCCCTATTTATTGCAGCACTGTACTGAGGATACTGTAGTTCAAGGTAGCACAGGCAAGGGCACAGGGTACCAACGGTGACAAGAGGGACCTTTGTTTTCTGCACTGCTGAGTTCCAAAGCAGCTAGAGAGGTGCCTTGTAGCCGAGAAGGGAGGGGAGCTTGTGGCTTTCCTGGTAGGAGCAGAAGCCCAGCCTTGGAGGTTGCAAGGTGCATTGGTGGGAGGGGGAGGGGGCTGTCGAGCAGCCTGGTTGCCGGGGGGGCTGGGTGTGTGAGGCTGAGGGCGAGTGTGTGTCAGTTCTCATTACCCACAGTGGCTGCGCCCCATCGAGTCTCCACAAACGCGGAGCTGGTGAACACGGAGCCGCGGCGCCCAGGAGCAAGGCTCGGCTGAGGGCTTTCAAGCTCAGTCTCCGGTAGGGAAACAGTCCCACCGTCTTCAGTACAGAACCCTGCGACGCATCGTGTTTTTAGTCCAGGGCGCTATTTATTTAATGTGTCCACATGATTCATTAACAGTGAACGCCTGGCTACCCTCACTGTGACCTACACCTAACTTCCCTAACGTGGATTTTCTCGGTAAGCCACATCGCAGCCTTCCTGGGAGTCTTTTTGAATAGTAAAGTCACCAACAAGCAAAAGAAAACTAGTGAAAATGTGACACTTATTGGACTACAAAGGGGACACTTGTTTGCGGAATGAGGGCAGAAAAATGAAGGCAGAGGGTTGCCTTGATTGACCTCACTCTGAATGTTCCCAGTGGTGAATGCGCCCCATAGAGCTTAGTACGCATTTATGAATGGGTGCAGCAATGGCTCAGGGACTGAGCTGGGGGTTACAACTAATGTTAGCGGGCAGCAGAATTTGCGAATGTAGAAGCCACGAGTAATGGGGCTCAGCTGCCTGTGCAAGAAGAGACAGGCTGAAGACAGAGCAGGAGTGTCTCCGAGGCCACGCTTTGTCCCATGTTAAGGGCCCCAGGAATCAGGTGTGTGTGTGTGCCAATGGCGGATCCCGGGTGGGTCGGAGCGGCCCCCAGAACTTCCTTCCTCTGAATGACAGCCTACAGCTGCTAAGGGACTGGCCACGTAGCCACCCATTCAACACATATTGAGCACCTACTGTTGCCAGGTCCTGTGTTGGTGTCACCACCCTCCAGCAGCTCATGTCTGCAGGAGACAGACTCGTACCCAGCACGGAGAATGTACAGAGAAAGATGTTCCAACGGGGGAAGCAGGAGTCAGGGACGGCTTGGGAGAAGCACCGAGTTGAAGCTTAATAAATGCTTTCGACCAATGAATGTGTGACGGACGGCTCTCTCTCGGGGAGATGACGCCACCGAGGATGAGGGGGTCGGCAAGGTGAAGGCGCTGAGAAGGTGCTGCAGGCAGAGTGCCACGGTCTCATGGTGGGAGACGTGACACGGTTAAAGCCCGAAAGGGCCACAGTGGGGAGGAGCAGTGAGGCCAGGGAGGGGCCGAGCAGGCTGGGCTATGAGGCCAGGGTGAGGAGGTGGGGCATCATCATAAGGCCATGGGGAGCCCTGGAAGACTTCTTGGTCGAGGGGGTCAATACTGTTTGCATTTAGAAAGGTCTCCCTGGAGCGCCCAGGGGAGAGCTGAGGACACAGGGCGCAGGGAGCCCGGGAGGCCACTAGGGCTGTCCGGGTTTGAGCAGATGAGCTGAAGGGGTGCTCTGTAGGAGGAGCTCCCTCCCAGGCACTGGTGACAGGCAGGCAGAGGGGAGTGGCCAGGGTGCAGGTACTGGAGGAGGGGGCAGAAGTGAGTGCGGTGTGCTGAGCCCGAGAGGCAGGGGCCCATCCGGGAGACAGCAGCATTAGACCAGCAGGTGTGGGGCTCAGAGGGGCGGCCCTGCAGGGGGAGAGCGGGACTTGCTGGGTGGGGGGAGGCCGAGAAGCAGACCCTGGAGGTAGGAGGGCGGTAGGGCTAGGAGGCAGAGATTCTGGGCACCAGGTGAGAGTGGTGCCAGGAGAAGCAAGGGCCCTGCAGGTGCAGATCCCGCAGGAGACAAGGGACGTGAAGACAGTGATGCATCCTAGAAACAGGAGCAGGAGGGACAGAGCCAGACGGGCTGGGTGGAGGGGGTTAGTGACGGGAAGGCGCTTTCAGGTACATGGTGCTCTGAGAGCAGAGGGAAGACCAGAGCAGGAGGAACCGGAGGCCATGTTGGTGTTCAGGCTGGTGGCGCTGGCCTGATGCGCAGTTGGCTGTTTCCTGCTTAGGGATGGATTCCAAAGCTCACGGAGGGGCGCAGTGTGGGGAAAGTCAACAGTGGCCTGGGAGGGGGCGCTCAGGCGGCAGAGTTCCTGAGAAAGGCTGGTGCTGTGAGCTCGGCCGGTTACCGGGTGGCCAAGGCTTGGGCTCTGGTGGTGAGAGTTGGGGGAGTTCCCGTGGAGGTGTCTCGTTTCTTTGTGCTGTTGGGGGGGGGGGGGCTTGTGTTGGTGGTGATTGCCACAGTGGTTTTGCTTTAAGAGGGTGTCTGAGGGTCTCCCTGCAAGGAAAGCGTTACTTACAGCAATGGAGCCCAGGTGCTGAGGCCAAGTGTATCCAAAGCTCACCTGTGGCCAGGTGTCGCAGTCCCCAGTCCCCTTGTCCTGAAGAGTGCTACATCCTGCTGCGCCCAGTTGCTCTGCTAGGCTGTGTGCTTCCAAGGCATGCGGAAGAGAGTCTTCCATGGTGCCTGCTCTCGATGGAGGCCAGGGGACCTCTGATTCCCACCGTGGGTCGCCTGCCATCGGGGCCCTTCCATCTCTCCCTGGACCAGGGGCTGCCGGCCATCGGGGCCACACTTCGTGGCAGCTGGGCCCGGGGCCACCTGGATGTGGTGCGGAGGCGACGGAAGTGAAAGACGTCTGGGTGGGCAGGCTGTGCTTTCCGCTCTGACCCGTCTCCAGGGAGGCCCATCCCTTTCACCGCTCCCAGTAGCATTCTGGCCTAGGGGGCACTGGTCCTTGCCTAGAGAGCAGCCAGAAGCTGTGGCTGGCCTCCAGAGCCCGTGGATGGACGGCGCCCAGAGCTGCAGGTTGTCCTGCTCCTGTCCGCTCTGCCCAGCCACCTGGAGCCTCACCAGTCTCGGCAGGACCTGTCGGAGCTGGAAGGCAGTGGCCTGGTTCGAGTGCACACTCGTGAGCTCCATCCCAGGCCTGCAGAATCAGACTGGGCAGAAAGCCCAGGAACGCGCAGTTTTACAAGTTCCTCGTGGTTCCTCTGATGCAGGCGGTCCATGGGCCGCACTGACTTTCTCAAGCATTGGGAGTCCCTGCACACGGACTGCTCATCACCGACCTGGGCCGGGCTAAACCCGTTCCTGCAGAATCTCAGCTGGTTCTCACAACAGCAGCTGAGGTGGGTATAACTGCCTATTTTATTGCTAGGAAGACTGAGTGGTGGGCACTTGGCCTAGAAGTTAAGACACTAGCTGAGCCACTGGCATTGCCTATCAGAGTACCTGGGTTCAAGTCCTACCTTCAGCTCCTGACTCTGGAAGGCAGTGGTGATGGCCTAAGTGGTTGCTCCCTGCCACACTCACGTTAGATCTAAATTGAGTTCCTGGCTCCCTGCTTTGGCCTGGCCCAGTCATGGCCATTGCAGGCATCTGGAGAGTGAACCAGAGGATGGGAGTGTTCTAGTTGTCTCTCTCTTTTTCTTTTTCTTTTTTTTTTATTTTTTTTTATTTTTGATAGGCAGAGTGGACAGTGAGAGAGAGAGACACAGAGAGAAAGGTCTTCCTTTGCCGTTGGTTCACCCTCCAATGGCCGCCGCTGCAGCCGGCGCACCGCACTGATCCGATGGCAGGAGCCAGGAGCCAGGTGCTTTTCCTGGTCTCCCATGGGGTGCAGGGCCCAAGCACCTGGGCCATCCTCCACTGCACTCCCTGGCCACAGCAGAGAGCTGGCCTGGAAGAGGGGCAACCGGGACAGAATCCGGCGCCCCGACCGGGACTAGAACCCGGTGTGCCGGCGCCGCAAGGTGGAGGATTAGCCTATTGAGCCACGGCGCCGGCTTGTCTCTCTCTTTTTCAAAGAAATAAATTTTAAAATTTTTTCAAAAAGAAGACTGGGACACCAAGAGGCTAAAGCCATATAGGAGGATACAGACCGGTGGGGTGGGAGTGGGCCAGGATGCAGGCCTGTGGCGCTGTCCCCAGAGCAGTGCCCCATGCTGCCTGCTTGACAGCTACATCTGGGGTCTGTGGGTTCCTGGTGGGGCCCGGGTCACCCTGACGTATGTAAAATTTTCATCTGCATGTGTTTCTCAGGGGCTTCTCTCTCATTAAATGGCCAAAGGAGATCTGTGACATGTCAGAGGTTGAGCGGCTCAGCCCATTCTACCCTTTGCTGTGCACACACGGAAACAGGTCCTCCGAGACAGTGGGCATGGGCCTGCATGGCCACACGTCGCTGACCAGAGGCTGGAGCAGTGCCCCTCACATGGCCTGTGGATTTGGGAGGGATTTCTCTGCTCCTCCCCTCTCCCCATATTCCAGCAGCCACTGGGTTCGTATACTTTTTTAAAGATTTCTTTGAGAGGCAGAGATACAGTGGGAAGGAGAGACGGGGGTGGGGGGGAGGAGAGAGAATCTTCTAGCCGCTGGTTCACTCCCCAAATGGGTTTACACCCCAGCCCTGCCACTTGCTACCTGGTGCCCTTGGGCACCCATCTGTTAAATAACAACTACTTCATCAGGTGGCTTGAGAATTAACGAAGTCCCAGGTAAAGCCTTTAGCACCGTGCCTGGAGCAGGTACTCAACAAAGAGCGAGGGCTGGCATGTGGGTGCGGTGGGTCAGGCCACCGCTTAGCACCCGGCATCCTGTACTGCAGTGCCTGTTCAAGTCCTGGCTGCTCTACCCTCCATCCAGCTCCCTCCTAATGCACCTGGGAAGGCAGTGGATGATGGCCCAATTATACGGGACCCTACCACCCACATGGGAGACCCGGATGGAGTTCCTGGCTTCAGCCCTGGCTGTTGTGGCCATTTGGGGGAGCAAACCAGTGGATGGGAGACCTGTGTTGCTGTTTCAGGTAAATAAATCTAAAAATGAGCACAACACTGTCGCTGTTGGGTCTGAATGTGGTGAGGTGATGCTGGAGGGGGTGTGGGAGCCATCCTGCAGGACGGGAAACATCAAACCCAGGGGCTTTGTTTTGTCCCATTTGGAGGGACTCCACAAGGTTCATGGAAAATGGAATTAAAAGATGGTGCACATTTCCCGGGAACGTTTTGCAGCCCTGGTAGCTGACGGGGGCCCTGGAGGTTTTTACACCCCAGAGATAGACAGGTGTCTAAGGCTGGAAACTGGGGTGCCACTGACCAGGCAGCAGAACTTCCCTGCTGAGCCCACCGCCTTGCTCGTCCCCTGCATCCTAGCCAGGGCCTCCTCGCTCACGGCTCTCTGCCTGCGATGCTGCTCCCAAGACATCAAGCTGGCCGGCTCCCTCACCACCGGACCTACCCTTTCATTTCTCTGGTCCCCTCCCCACCAGAATGTCAGCCATGTGAGGGCAGAGGCTTCGCCTGATGCTGTGTGCCAGCACATGACAGCTACGCAGTGGACAGTGTCCCGTGGACGAGTCTGCGGCTGGCACAGCAGATGAAAACTATGTTGTGCATTTCCCCCAGCCCAGTGCTGGGGCCTGTGCCTCCCTGCAGTGCTTGGTGCATGACAAGAACCGCAAACAAGTGCCTGTCAGGCGACAGCTGGTTCAGATCCCTCTCATGTCAGGTTAATTTCAGGTTAGGACAAAGCAGCTCCAGCGCCCTCGGGTCGTCTCTGGGGCCAGTGTTGCTTTATTGGATTCCCCTGGCCTTCAAACTCTGGTTGGCAGGGAGGGGCATTGTTGCGGTACAGGGGGCTGAGCCACTGATGGCCACGCTGGCCTCCCGCGTGGGAGTGCCGATTCCAGTCCCGGCTGCTCCTTTCCATCAGCCCAGTACCCGGGCCCCTGCCGCCCACGTGGAGGATCTGAGCGCTCAGGATGGAGTTCCAGGCTGCTGACTTCAGCCTGGCCCAGCCCAAGCCAGTGCAGCCACCTGGGGCGTGAACCCGAGGATGGAAGAGCTATGTCCCGTCCTCTCTGTCACTCTGCTTTCAGATAAGTAAATCTTTAAACCTAACAACCTCTAGGTGGGAGGGGCCATTCCCACCACCGGGGTGGATTCTCCAAAACCAGAGCAGCTGCTTCCTAAGCTCCACCGCGGGACGCAGGCTCCACCTGCAGCCGGCCCTGCCCCAGCCGTGTGCTCCCGGGCAGGCGGCCTGGCCTCTCTGCGCCCCAGGGTCCTCCCTGAGATTCCCTACAGCAGGGTGAGGCAGGCTCCGCCTTACCTTACTAGCTGGTGTTGGTGAATAGGTGGGAGTTGGGGAGACCCACCTCTGGGAGTGCCGGGGAGGGGCGTGTGGTCCCAGGCTTCAGCTGGGCAGGTTGCCGTGGGCGCGGGATGCCGGTCCCTCGGGCAGGCAAACTCTCCCAGCCCCGTCCCTGCAGGCCCCTGGCCTTCGCTGAAGTGACGGGAAGGCACTCGGACAGGCAGCTTCTGTGTATCTTTAATATCCTCCAGGCTCGCCCACCCCCTACCCGCGCCCCACTCCCCTCCCACTCCCGCCGCCTTTCCGAGTGGAGGACAGGAGCCCTCCCCCAGCCCAAGGACTAAGGCACCAGGTGGCTGCAGCAGGCCGGCCCGGACACACGCACAGGTGGAGACGCACACACCGCCGACGCGGACACGCGCGGGGGCGGGGCGGGGGATCAGGCCGCGCGGGCTCCCGCAGCCTCGGGGCTCGTCCTGGCCGTGGGCGGCCCAGGCAGCCCCGCGAAGGGGACCGGTCGGGAGGAGAGGGAGCCGCGGCGGGGCGGGATCCTCACTTGCCGCCCTTGCGGGCCAGACACCGCGGGAGGCATGAGAAAGTCTGCTTGACGCGCGCCAGCAGCGGCAGCGGCCGGTGGGCTTCCCGGGGCGAGCGCGGCACCAGGCGCTGCAAGGTTCCCTCGGAGGCCGCCGCGTGCGGCGCGGCGGAGGCGGCCGAGGTCGAGGAGCCCTGGCGGCAGCGCCTGCACAGCGGCAGCAGCGCGCGCACCTCCTCCTCGTCGCGGAACGGGCTCTCGCCGAAGCGCTCCTCCAGCTGCCGGCGAAGCTGGGGTGGGCGCGCGGGAGGGGGCGGGGTCAGCGCGTCGCTCGCGCCCTCCGCTCCTCCCCGGGCCTGCCGCACCTGGCTCAGCCCCGCCCCCTCCCGAGTTTCCAGGCCCGCCCGGAGCCCCCTCTCCCGGTCGGTGAGCGCCTCCGCTCTCTCGGAACCCGCTTGACCTCGGCACTTCATCTTCCGGACCTGCACCGTGTGGTCCGCGCGGGTCCCTCCCCCGCCCCTGCGCATTCACTTCCGAGGGCTCCGGGGCTGCACCCACGCACGGCTTCTTCCCCGCCCAGCCATTTCCGAGCGCAGCCCTGCTCCTACGCGCCCAGCTAGGGAGCAGCGGCCACCTGCTGAGCCTGCCTGCGATCTAGCGCTCTCCCGGCTCTGGCGCGCGCTCTCCTCTCTCCGCACTCCCGCAGCCCGTTAGCCTTTGTTCCCGGGGAGGCCTGAGTCTCTGACTTTTCCATGTGCCATCTGCCCAGGAGGTGTCACCCCAGGGCCTCTCCAAAGACCCAGCGCAGGAGGGGGCATGGACGGGGCTCCCCGCAGGGGTCAGACGCCCGAAAGCCGCCGGCTCCCCGCGGGTAGAGCAGGCAGAGGGCAGTGTGGGGAGCCCCGGTCCAGTGAAGGGCCCACTGCCTGGTCTAAACTTAGACCTTCACATTCCAAATTAAAAACGGAAAAGCACTTGGCTGTTAAACTACACCCGGGAGCTCAAGAGTCCTAATTTTGAGACCCCAGGAAAACCAAAGCACAGGCTGAATTCTTTCCAGGCAGTGCTGGTGAGGTCCAGGGGGAGGAGGAGGAGGAAGGGTCTCCCCCCCCCCCCCCGCGCCCCCCGCGGTCTCGCCATGGGAACTACCTTGTGGGAAAGCCCCCAGCAAACTCTTCTGGGAGCGTCCTAAAGACCTGCGATGGGGGTTGCCCATGACCATGCCGCTATTGCTGGCTTCCACTACTAGCTCACGAAGCCAGCGCCGGCAGGATCCTTGAAAATCTCGGTCGCAAAATTTGTTTCAAAGCAAGAGATCCGGAAAATGAGGAGACCCACACCTCTTCCGCTGTTGTTGCGAGGAGGCACAGCGCCTGCGGAGTGCCCTCCAGCCGAGGCGGGCCCCTGCCCCTCCCCTTTCCAAGACGGATTGATAGGTGAAGTCCTGAGG